AGAGGCACGGGGGGGAGGAGCGGAGTGGGAACACCGGGAAGGCCGAGGGGGGCTGCCGCACAGCGGTGCCGCGGGGTGCTGGCGGGCTGGTTGTGACCGCAGCATGGGAGCCGGGTGTGCGGAGGAGAGCAGCAATCCCGCTGGAGACGGAGCACTGTCCCTCGGTAGGGGTCGTTACCCTGAGGGATGTTTTCTGCCCACCCTGGTGCGTGCAGGTGTGCAATAACAACAAGAACTGCCACTGCGATCCGGGCTGGAACCCCCCCAGGTGCAAGACTCGAGGATTCCCTGTAGGCCGTGGCACCGACAGCGCGCTGGGCCCCGGTGAGTGCCGCAGCCGGGCTCTGGGTGCCCCGGGGTTTTACCGGGTGCGACAGCAGCTCCCACGGCCCCGCAAACAGCCTCATCAGGCTCGCGGCTGAGCAGACGGCCCGTGGCATCGCCCGGCCCTCACCCGGAGCTGTACCTTTGCTTCTCTGCCTAGATCACATCGCCCAAAGCTCTGCCCCGGCTGTGCTGAAGAACTGGCTGCTGCTGAGCTTCAGCATCGTCCTCCTCCTCGCCCTGGTCTGTGGCACTGTCATGATTATGAAGCGGAACCGGCTGAAAAGATTCTGTGCAAGGAGGGGATCACAAATGGATGGGTGAATTGATATTAGTTACTTAATGCAAATCCACCGTTCTGGGTGTGGGAGATGGGCAGGGATTTGTGGGAGCACGGAGTTAACTGGAAAAGCTGGTGAGTGGGATTTACAGCCCGGGCAGAGCAGGGAAAGTGGCGCTTGGGAAACAGTAACTGTTTGTTGGTAAACTGGGAACCGTTTGTTGGTCAGCAAGGGAAGAAACTAGCAAACAGATGTCTAAAGTATACAAATACAGGAGAAGCAAAACTAAGGGTGGATTTCCTGGCACCAAGCACGCTGTCTGTGTGCAAGAGCTGGAGCAAACAGCTTTTCCATTTGCTAGCTCCTGGGGAAAGCAAACTGCAAAAGGGGGAAAGTAGGATACAAGAGAAGCTGCAGGCCCCAGTAAAAGCGGAGAGGCGCAGCTCGCTCTGATGCGGAGCAGGAACGCGGGTGGCAGACGATGCTCGGGGCAGCAGGGCTGGCTCAGGGCATGGGGTGTAGCGGGGCTGGCTTGGGACATGGGGCACAGCGAGGCTGGCTCAGGGCACGGGGGGCAGCGGGACTGGCTCGGGGCGCAGCACGGCTGGCGCAGGGGAAGCAGGGCTGGCTCAAGGCACGGGGGCAGTGGGGCTGGCTCAGGGCACGGGGCACAGCGGGGCTGGCTCGGGGCGCAGGGGCAACGGGGCTGGGTCAGGGGACAGCGAGGCTGGCTCGCGGCATGGGGGCAGCGAGGTTGGCTTGGGGCATGGGGGGCAGCGGGGCTGGCTCGGAGCACGGGGGCAGCGGGGCTGGCTCGGGGGACAGTGGGGCTGGCTCGGGGCAGAGGGGACAGCA